TAATATAATTTAAATTATAAGTAACTTTTCTCTATCATCTAATGATATATTATTATAATGGTAAGTTCATGATTATAGGCGGTGTTGTAAGTTGTAACATTTTCACGGAAAATTTGCGCAAAACGCCCATGCCTTCCTGTCACGGCATGCGAGGGATAGTGCACCCCGGCCACGTCATCTGCCCAATCCATAATCTCCACGTCACCTCCATACTCAAAGCCCTAAGAATTTACTCATCCAACGGACCCTCTTCCTTTCACCGCCCCTCGATCCAACGGCCCTCATTCCTCGTTCTAGACTCTTCTAAATCCCAAAAAAAAAAAAAAAATCAACCCTGGTGTGTTAACCAGGGTTACTTTAACCCTTACGCGGTGCAGTTAGAGGTCGTCTCTTCAAGGAAGCTGAGGGTGAAGCGACGGGGAAGCTGGAAAGAGGAAAAGGAAAAAAACAAAAAAACTGGAGAGGGATTTTCCTCTGCATTACTGAGTGAACTCCTACTACACTTGTTTCCTCCTTAAACCTTGACGATTCTTCTGGGGAATGGCCGACGGTCTCTGATTGATTGTCGTCGGCGGTTGTGTTCGAAGGTAATTTAGTGAGTGTCGTTTTCCGAACATCACTTGGAGGATTCGTGATTTCTTCAGATCTTGGAATCTGGTGAGTTGATTGTAGTAATCTTCGGGTTCAAACTGGTTTTCATGGAGCTCGATAATGTTGTTGGTTTAAATCCTTTTCGAGTTGTGGTGTTTTTGGGGTTTTTTGATTTGTTTCTGTTTAACTTGTCTGCAAGGTTTCTTTTGAGTCTTCGGCTCTCTGCATTTCTGTTGCTTTTTATGTTTTGCATGGAACGTACCAGGTGGCTCTTATATATATCTAGCAATGGAGCTTTAGAAATTTAATTTAGAAATTGCATTTTTATGCAAAAGCGTGGTTAATTTAATGATAACCTTTAAGATTTTTTGCGTTTCTTTGGCTCTTTTAATTTCTGTAATTGAAGGATTCAGAATTTACTCTGGAGGTTTCTCGAGTCAGTTGCTAAAAGCGAGTTAATGATGCTTAAGAAGGTTCATCGGAGAATCCCCAATCCATGTCTTCGAAAAAGTGGATGTTGAAGAATGCATTAACTTTTTATTTTATTACAGAATTTAGATACGTTGATTTTTGACTTTTGTGCTTTCGGGTTTTTCGTAAACACTGAATGAATGAATACATTAATTTCACTCCGAGTCTTATAACTGTTACCCAGCTGAGCTAGTCTTACATCTGTAGAAAGTTCCTCCCTTTTGGGATTTCTTGGCATATAAGGATGATGATTCATGGATTGGTTATCGTCAGGGTTTCGATTAATCCTTCGTTCTTTTGCAGGTTCTGTTAACCTACTATTCCAGCTGCAAGAGATGGCTCAGTCAATGTAGCAAAAATATAAATATCTTGTTTGGCCTACTATTTTGTGTGTTTGTTGCCGTTCTTTTTTTTTTGACGGTGGGATCTGGTTCCATGTCTACCAATTAATGACTGATTGTGAATTACATTTCTCGAGTGTTGGACAATCCGGCTTTGGAGTTTGGCGTCATCTTGGGAAGGAAGAAGCTCTCTTCCTCTGCCGCCGCCTCCGTCTCCAACCACATAAGCCGTTGATTTTTCCCACCAGTTCATGTCTCATAAATTGGACAGTCCTGTTCAGACCCAGATGCCAGTGGCAGTCTTTAAGAGCCCCCTTAGGGGTGAGTATCATGGAAATAAGATGGTGGAACCAAAGCAGCCTACAGGTAGGAGACGTGTTTTTGTGCAAACTGAGACCGGTTGTGTCTTGGGGATGGAGTTGGATCGGAGAGACAATGCACATACTGTGAAAAGAAGGCTGCAGGTTGCGTTTAATTTCCCCACTGATGAAAGCTCTTTGACTTTTGGGGATAAGGTGTTGAAGAATGATCTTAGTGCTGTTCGGAATGATTCTCCACTTCTCCTAATGAGGAACTGCTTGCATAGAAGCTCATCAACACCGTGTCTTTCACCCACTGGGCGAGATATCCAGCAAAGAGACAGAAGTGGTCCAATTGAGATATTGGGGCAGTCCAATGCCAGAATGGAAGATTTGGTGCAGGCAATTGTGAAGGCAATCAAGACGGGTGTTGACCCACTTCCTGTTCATGGTGGTCTTGGAGGTGCATACTATTTTAGGAATAGCGAGGGTCAGAGTGTGGCAATTGTGAAGCCATCAGATGAAGAACCTTTTGCACCTAACAATCCTAAAGGCTTTGTTGGAAAAGCTCTTGGGCAACCTGGTCTGAAACGTTCAGTTCGGGTAGGGGAAACGGGTTTCAGAGAAGTTGCAGCTTACCTTCTCGATGATGCTCATTTTGCCAATGTGCCTGCAACGGCCTTGGTGAAGATCACCCACTCAATCTTCAATGTCAATAATGGGATGAATGGGAATAAAACTCACAAGAAGAATCTGGTCAGCAAGATTGCATCTTTCCAAGAGTTTATACCACATGATTTTGATGCTAGTGATCATGGAACTTCAAGTTTTCCTGTGTCTGGTGTGCACCGCATTGGTATATTAGATATAAGAATATTTAACACGGACAGGCATGCAGGAAACCTTTTAGTGAGGAAGCTTGATGGTGTTGGGAGATTTGGTCAGGTGGAACTCATTCCAATTGATCATGGTCTCTGCTTGCCAGAAACCCTGGAGGATCCATACTTTGAATGGATTCATTGGCCTCAGGCTTCAATTCCTTTCTCTGAGGATGAACTTGAGTATATAGGAAATCTTGATCATGTGAAGGATTGTGAGATGCTGCGGAAGGAGCTCCCCATGATACGCGAGGCCTGTCTCCGTGTCTTGGTTCTCTGCACCATCTTCCTTAAGAAAGCTGCAGCCTCTGGTCTCTGTCTTGCTGAAATTGGTGAGATGATGAGTAGAGAATTTCGTGCTGGGGAGGAGGAGCCCAGTGAACTTGAGGTTGTTTGTATGGAGGCAAGGAGGTTGATAGCAGAAAGGGAGGTATTATCTCCCAAGTCCGACTTTGGAGATGCAGAGTTCCAGTTTGACATAGACTGTGGTTCCATAGACTCTGGTTCCATAGACTCTGAAGAACTGGAATTGGATTTTGCACCTAAAATGGTGACTTACGATTACATTACCAGAGCATTCCCATGTGGAAATGGGTTTGTTAACGGCCATAATCCTCTTTCAAAGCTGGAGGAGTGCTTTGAGGGGGAGGAAGAGAGTGAAGATGAAGCTGAGCATGACGAAGTTCCCCACCTTAAAGTTCCTGAAAGGATCCCATCCATTTCAAAGCTTTCAATGTCACTGAAAGATACCAGTTTAGGTGACAAGACCCAAAAGTACCAGAAACTCCCTGGAGCAAAACCAGAAAATGTTTATCTTACTAGCTCATCTGGGCATAGAAGCGCAAATGAACAGCTTCCTGCAAGTGCAAGCTTTGTTAAGCTGGCAGACATGAATGAGGAAGAGTGGAGCCTGTTCTTGGAGAAGTTCCAGGAGTTGCTGGACCCAGCATTTGCTAATCGTAAATCCATAACCTTAGGACAGAAGCAGAGACAGAGGCTTGGTACTTCATGCCAGTTTTGATAGAGAGGTGCTGCCAGTACATGCGTATCGATAAAGTTGAATAAGACTACATATAGGTGCGTAAGAGGAAAGAGTTTGCTTGAGGAGATTCGATCTATGGGTTTTCCTTTGAGAATGTACGGTAGTAGTTGTTGGCTTCAGTAGGACTAGTCGTTGTGCATATTCTTTGGCGAGAGCTTAGTAGAATTTGTTGTATTTTTTCCTTTCTTCTTTTCTTACGTAGCTTTTACTTCATATGGACTTGTTTGATAAATGACTATGTAGAATGAAATCATATATATAATATATTTAAAAAAAAAGAAGAATATTTTGTAAATTGTGGCCCTTAACTTGCATTAATTCCCCACTGTTACCATTCTATTTATGTTTCCTTAATTGCTCCCATGTGAAGAACCTCTTGATTTGTACCAAAAATGGGTTATGGGATCTTCTCTGTATACCGAAAGTTGCATTATTTTTCTGGGATTTTGGTTGCAAGCCAATCTGTATCGTTTGTAGATACTGGATTCTCGATGATTTGTTTCTGTTAAATATTCAAGTTATGGTTCTTTTATCATTGGTGCTTTCATTTTAAAATTCCAACTTGCACCATGAGATGATACCAACAGAACAGTTATGATGAGATTTTTTCTTGGATCATAGTCCTTTTCTGCTCAAAAACACCAGGTTGTCATCCACAGGTTAATCCCACTTTAATCAAGTATTTTCTTCCTTTATTTCTTTTGTTGTTGTTAGGTAAAGATGAGGTATTTTCTATGGTTGCATTTAAAAGAGACAAGAGCGTAATGTCATTGGTGGCTCAAAAATCAGACCATTTAGTATTCAGGTAAACAGGGGATGACATAGAAAGCAGCCAGGCAGGTGAGATGCATATATAGAGCAACACATCATAGTTTGGGTCCCATTAACAAGTCTCCCTTTGTAATATAACTATATCACAAATCTTAATTAACCTTTTGGCCATTTGTTTTTGGCATGTTCTCTAGATCATACAATTAAAACGGGACACCATTGGAGGTTTGTTGTTTGTGGCTGAAAATTAAATGACCTGTTAAAATTTTAAATCTTACATAAAAAATGAAGTAAATCTTTAATTTATATGTAAGTATTACTATCAACTATTACTAATAATTATAATTTAAAATTTTTATCAAATACAAGTTATAGATTTGAATAATCTCCACCTTTGGCAGGAAAGAAATAAAAATAAAAAAATCTCCACCTTTCCTTAACATGTAAACTAAAGAAAAAAGTTTATCTGAGCCCAGAATAATGACCTCTCTAAAATAATATCTTCCCTTGGTTATCATCAATGAAATATGATTTTTCTTTTTCTTTTTTTCAACTTGAAAGAAATACAGAGTCAAGAAGTGGCTTTGTATGTCAATATTAAATGTCACATTCATGTGGATAAGCAAAAGTTTTTTCTATGTGGGATGTGGAATCGGATAGAATAAGATAGTATTGAAGTTAATTCGGTGAATTTTTCCTCATCCAAATTTCAAGTCTTGATAGTAAATAAGAGCAAACTACCGGTCTGTCCGCCTACTATATAGCCTCAATTATTTTGTTTAATTTGACCGAAACTAACCTGATGAGACAATTAATTTATTTATTGCAACTTTTTTTTTTGGTAGAATTATTTATTGCAACTTTAATCACAATAATTTAAGGGT